ATAATAAAATAATAATAATATACAACATTTGATATAGCGCCCTATATAGATAACATAAGCCACTCTATAGCGCTTTACAGTACATGGATATTCAATTGATACAATTAGTATATACATTAATTAATATAATTACATGCTAAACAATAATGTCACTTACAGCGATACGAGTCATCATTGGATTTTGAAGATGTTTTCATGGTTGCCATCATCCGCTACAAATGAAATAAAATCGTGAAATGAGTTTCCCTTGGATGCCCCCCTATATATCCTATGAATATAATTATGATGTAACAATTTACGGAATCACGTTTGAATTGGATATCACTCCATACCCGGTCTTTCTCTTCGATCCTCTTGTTCTGGACAGTGTCATTAGGAGTCCAGTAGGCAGGTTCAGGATGAGAAGCTGAAATGAAAAATCAGCGGAATTCTGTGCAGAATCGACAATAGTATTGCAAATATATCGCGTAACGAATCCTGGTATAAGACATTCGAAAAAATTTAATATTTAACATCTCGTCAATCGAAAAGAGTTCATTTATCTCTATTTTTACTGTTAAGTTATCTTGCATATATTGATTTAATTGCATTGCATTAAGCTCACGTAATTTTCCATGTGTGGTTGAAGAGTGGTCTTCCCTTCTCCGACGACTATCTGGCACGTTTAAACCTCGAGACCGTTGCAATTCTTGATTCTTTAGCTAGACGGGAAAAGCAATAAAAATCAATGTAAATACATGCCATTCACTTAAAGAAATAAGTGCATACTATAATATTATTGCAAGGTGTTTTATTTATCTTAAGATCGATTGTGTCCTTGGAATATTAGTATCAATGCATATTTTTTTGACCATATTACAAAAAGATGACTATCAGATATAAGTAAATAAAGTCAAGTTATGCTTATTTTGGGTAGTTACCTATAGTTATGTGTTAACTTACCTGTGTTGTAGAGTCTAATTGACAATATAAACCACAAACGCTGCATTTGTAACAATTTCGAAAATGCTGGCTTTTGTGTATTTGCTCTGTCACAGGAAGCCGTCTTTCACACTTCATACAGAAAATGTGATAGCATTTGTCCAACCGGATCGCCGACTTAACAAAAGAAATAAAAACACATGTATTTATAATATGAAAAGAACATTTTACATCGAAACAAATCAGATGATTTAATTTCGTATTCGTTTCATGTCAATTGAAAGCCGTACATTTGACCCGTTCTTGTTATTTTATTGTGTATATTCTCTTAAGAGTGAGGGGAAGCAACTCGGTAGTTCTTACTTGCAAACTTTGACTGGTTCAAACTTATCAGTGGTATCAGTGCATTTATAATTACTTCAAATTATTTCACTTACTATTAATCCTGTTGCAGCACATTCGTGACACTTCAACGGATCCATGCTACTCCACTTAATAAAACAAAAGTTAAAATGGTCCATGTAAACAACGCAAAACGAAAGTTGAAACCAGTTTTGAGCTTACGTGGAAGACTAAATTTGATGGCACGTCAGCGAACTATAAATATACATACTTCTCAGAAGCCTATTCATAGCTGATGGAATTTGTTAAACACAACTTTCAGAAATAAGCAGATAAAATAATTTGTATATATACGTCATCGTTACCTGGAATCACCAACACCTTTCTCAGGATAACATTAACGAAAATCAGGACTCGAAATCAGTTTTTGGATAAAAGATTGATGTAAACATGATATACTAAACAGTAATAAGACTTTTAGGTATGATTGAATATGAAAACAATAAGAATGTTATTTAAGACAATTTAGGAGGAAACATACAATTGAAAATTTCAAACATTAACATCGAAGAAATTCTTGCAATCCATTGACAAACAAATAGATAGGGGACAGCTACTTTACCGTGGCACAGAAAGATAAAACAGCAGGGGGTGGGCGGTGTGTGTGATCATGATTACTTTTCGTACATCCCCCCTCTTATCTCCTCAATGAAAATGAATATTAGGACTTATAAAAAATGCTAGATATGTTTTAAAATGTCTTATAAAATATGTTATGCTCAAGTCAAAATTGCAAGTTACTCCTGAGGTAGGGTGGCACGAAGTATCCAGATCCAGTATGATCTGGATACTTGATGTGGACCCACGCTCTGTGTTTGGTTCGTTTGACTGTGTTATTTACCATGTACATATAGAAAATAGCGGATATCGACTGCCGACGTGACTAGACTAAACTTATCTATAGCTTACGCTATTGACATATAATCCATCGCAACGTCACTCATTAAATCTCTCTACTTTCGATTTCCATACATATTACACTGATCAAGAGTTGCATATGGGAATCATTCCACTGTAAAGCAACAGATAAAGGTAAGTATAGTTTTGACGTATTCTGACGGGGAATGATTTCACATTTTTATGTAAAACTTGGTGTGAAAATGACTGATTTATCTGTTCAGGCGATATCTATTTCTCTTCATAACAATCATTCATGTAAACCACTTATCATGGCATACTAACACAATCTTTCACATATATCCCGGTTTGTTACAACATACCCC